TGGCTTGATATTCCTTCCTGTTATTTAAGATATTTTTTAATTTTTTCCAAGAAAGTTTATATGCATATGCATTCAATAGCTATAAATATGCTTGTAATATTTCTTAAGCATAAAACTGTAGAATGGCAGTGGTTGATGGAGGATGGTTATACAGTGCAACCATTAATGTTGTCAGTGATGTATAGAGTGCAGTAACAATTTTTTGTGATGATCTATGTACGATGGCTAAGGACTTTGATGGCGGTTGTTTGGCAATTGTTGTATTACATGCATTAGCATAACATATTGAAATGGAGGCTTCCTTGATTCCTTTGTTTGTGAGCTCTCATGTAAATAAATGACTTTTTTCATTTGACTATAGAATGACTTGCATTTCCTATTAGAAATACTCATTTACTAAAGAAATATTAAATGTAGTGAAAATAGAGAAAGACATATCAAACCATGTTATAGTCATTGGAACAAGAGGTGTAAATTACTTGAGAAAATAAAATGGCACCCACTCAAGGTCCAATTTAACATAGAAGGTGGAGAAGAGTTGGAGAAAGAGCAAGTATAGAAAAATAAAAGGATGTCCAAATTGACCCTTTTGAATAAAATGCCTGAAATTTTCTAAAGATCAGTTGATAAGAACTTTTAATTTGGGAGGAAAAATATTGGCTAACAATGAAGGAAATTTGAAGGGGAAGACTTGGTAGTGAGGTCAAGGTAGATGAAATTTTTTGTTCATCGTATTTTATTCGTATTTTCATTTTCTTTCTTACAAATATGGGGTCGACTTTCAAGTTTCATCCATATGTAGCTGCATGGTTTGATTATCTTACCTTAATAGGAAAATATATCTACCCATATATATTAGTGTTTTCCTATTTAACTATTTGAAAATCGTTAAACAAACAAAATATAATGAAGCTTAGATCGAGACACACTAAGAGGAGTACAACCAGAGGGTGGCAGCTCTTGAGATTTGAGAGAAAGATACATGTTTTAAATCATTTGAAACTGAGAAGGAAACATGTTATGAAGAATTACTCGATCCATAATGACATATTTGACAATTTGTAAGCTCTCTAATGAAGTATTACTCCCATGCCATTAGTGGACCCCCACGAACTACACTTGTTTTGCTCCGTTCTTTTTTGGGGATCAATATTTTCAGAGAGCAAAGTAAATTTTTTATGGTTGACTCAGCACAAAAGCTTCAGAAATGCAAATTTTATGTATATGCTATTTTTAGTTTGGCCTTGTACCATTTTTGGAAAGATTATTTAAAAGGGTTTTCCCTTGATGGAAGACATGAACATTGAAATGTGTCACTATTTGCACCTTTTGGGCATCGCACAAGTAACATGTCTGCTTTTGTTCTAGACTAAATCAACCAATTGATTTTGTTTATTACAGATCCACATTCTATAGTTTTTGTATGCTTCGCTCTTATCCTTTATCATTTTGAATATTTTTTGGTTTATTTTTCCTAACGTGTGAGGGATATCATCTGTCTACGACACTGCATCATTTATTTTTCATCACCACAACTTCCTAAGTATTAGTTCCGATATTTATTGAGTGATTTAATTCTTTTTGTACACTAAAGCAATTTTTTATTTACCTGCGAGTTGGAATTCGTGAAGTCCTTGTCCATACTGATCCCACATTTTCTTTGAAAGAATACAAAATAATTGTTTGTTCTCTTTCCCTATATTTAATTTACAAGCATATTTCATTGTTGCACCTTGAATTTAAAGATAGAATAACAATAGTGACCAATACATCACAAACTGGTTGCTAAAGTTTAACTCTTGCACCTTGAAGTTAGGGTAAATTACAGGAGGTCCCAATAAATTTTCCTTAAATATTTTCTTGTAAAACAATTCAAAATAATGTGAATCAAAGAAATGTCGAGGACTGTTGTAGACACTCTATACTTTATTTTTATTTTGTTCATGATGGTTGTTTCTTAATTTTGTGTGTCCATATTGTGGGATTGTATTTGTAGTTGCATGTGCTAAAATTTGTGTTAGGTTTTTTTAATTTTTTTAAAAAAAGTTGATTCGTTAACTAATAGTAGTTTCAACATAATAACTCAAATCATTCATTATTTTATGTGTCATTCCGGTCAACCAACAAAATTCTTAGTGTCATACCGTTAGATCCTCATAAAGGTTCAAGGGTACTTAGATAAAATTACAAACTCTTCGTGAAAATGAATTGATTGTACTTGGCGTTTGACGAGCATGAACATGAGAGTGCTTTACTTGAGGTTAGTTTTTTTTCTACCCTTGTCTATTTTAGTAGTTAAAATTACGTTAAGTTTTCGATTATTAAATGTTTAAACGTGTTCAGGATCAATTAGAATACTAATACATGTATTGGATTGTCTAATGGTGAGATTCTAGAGATTAATAGTGTTATTTTCAACTAAGTATTGGTAAAATTAGTTGTGTACTTGTTTTGTAAATGACACGAGTCATTATTACAACTGAATAACATTGTACAAAATTTATCATTTTTTTGAAATTTGGTCTAGCATTTAGGGTTTTGCCAACAAAAGTACTTACGGCCGTAATGGGAGTGTTGTACAATTGGTGTGCTTAAATGGTATCATTAAACAAAGGACAATTTAACACAAATCATATAGCATTGGTAATTTTTTTAGTCCCCATTTCTTGAACCCTAATTTTTTTCAACAAAAAAATCAGGGATCACAATAAAATTATTGTTTATGATCTCCGATACATAATTAGCACTCTATGTATGTGTTTGATAAATTATTAAATGAAAAACTAAAATCTAATACAATTTTCATTTATACTGATTTTAGTTGCGTGTTGAATTATTCCAGATGAAGAAGCAACTAGATGCAATAAGGCACAACATTATGAAGAGCGAAAAAATGGAGTGACATTGCTATTATCTACGTCAATAATTCATATTTAATGCTTTCAGAGCACAGGGAATGCTATGTATGTTCAAATATTTTGTTTGCATGAAAACATGTCTTAGTGGATTCAAACATGATAAAGAAAAGGGTGGCAATGCCTATAAAGTTGTCAAGATTTTACTCTCAATCTACCGACTCAACTATAAATCAAAATGATCCACATGCAGCATACGTGTACATTAACTAGTAAGTGATAAAATTTCAATGAAGAAGTTCATGAGTTACACTCACATCAATACTATTAGACTATGTCATTATTAAATCAGCAAATTAAATTAATTTTTTTAAATTGCAATAAGATTGTTCTAAAATTTAACCACAACAGTTGGGCTATTTTGTAGGGAAGCATGTCATTAGTGAAGCTATAAACCACTCCTGTCTTCAACAAAATCTAATCTGCTATATATTATATGCTCAACTCCAGTGTAATATTCCAACTGCTAAACAAAACAGGAGACATTTTCAATGCTCGCATAGCTCCAAAATTAACCAATACAACTATTGAAGGATATTATTAGACAGTACTTAGTGACAAAAATTGCACTGTTTAATCCGTAGTTTAAATTGTAATAAAGATGAATTATAAATTTAGATGTCTAAAATTTGAATCTTAGCAATCCTTTAATCCCAATTAGGTCCAAAAAATTGTTCAACGCCGAGCTTGAACGAGAGCCGAACATGAGTATTTGCACAAAAACGAGTCAAGCATGTCGAGTTTGAGCTGAGTCTAAAAAACAAACTTAAAAAATTGTCCAAATTTAACTCATTTAAAAATGAACCAAGGTTAAACAAACCAAGAAAGAGCCAAATTCAAATAGCTCGGTTTGAATAATAACCCTAATCCCAGTATGGATAATCTATCTTTAACCAAATCGAAGAGAAGATTAATCGCATAAATTAGTCTTTAACACCCCAAACTATTAAAAAAAAAACTGCACTGCATTACTCAAAGTCGGTGATAGCATCATAGCGGTGGAACACTGGAACTTGTGATTTTAGTTGTTAGCTTTTAACTTATTTCAGTGATTATTATTACTTGTCATTGAATGACAGAAGTAAACTTTTATGCATGGCCGGAGATTTTTTTTTTTTTTACAGCAAGGAGTTTTGAATTCGTGATTTAAAAGTTTCGAAAATGGAGACAGTAAACATTAAACCAATTACTAACCATGCATATCTAGTTGGAATTTGAACTTTTGTATGGTTTATATAGAGCTTATGGTATATTTTTATTGGATCAAAAGACTACACAAAGTAAAATGTGAATAATTTTGAGAGAGGTGTTTGTAACCGTTGAATGAGTTTATTTGAGATCGTAAAATAAATTTATTAAAATCTGTCATATTTTATATTATAAATAATAATTAAGTCCAATTGAATTAGATCAATTAGCAACTTCCACAAGGATTCCTTAATGGAAGGAATTTATAAAGCTATATAAATGGCTCCAGTTCCCCATTCCCATTTATCACTTTGAACAAGTAGTCCTGACATACCATCACTCAGTAAAACATAAAGTTGGGTGGGAAAAAAAAAAAAAAGGACATACACATACGATTTTAGTATATTATTATTATTTTTTTCAACGATTAACGATATTCGAACCAATTTATGCATATTTCGATTAATCTCCTCCTCAGATGACACTGACCACGTTAAAACTGGAAGATTCATGATTCTAGTATATCATCACATATGGCACTGTGGGAAAAAAAAAACAGCAAAAAAGACACAGACAAGCCCTCTAAACAGAACAGTTTACATGTTCAGAATGCTGTTTTTGCAATGATATGCAAGTAACATTCTTAAAGAAAAACTTGAAAACCTTGTTTAAGGAATATATATTAGATAAATTTCAGACATTGATCCTACATGAAAAGGCAACACAGAAACCAGACAGGTGTGCATGCCCACGAGAGAGAGAGAGAGAGAGTACAAAATACCTTACCCTGCATTCAGGACAAAACCCAGAAGGCAAGAAAGAACCCTAAATACAATTCAAAGACATATAGTGCACAAAAGATTCATATTATCAAACATTATCTTCTACTACCAAACCCTAGTTTCTTCCATGCAAGTGATCTCTCTTCAACCCCCATTCATGAATAGAGAGATGAAGCTTCCTACTCGCCGTCAGAAAATCCACCGCCTGAACCGGCGTCAGAATACCAATCAACTCCTTAAGCGTACTCATCCTTAGCTGATCAGCCTCCTCCATCACTCTCAACATAGACCTTGAATGTTCATCCAGCGCCTCCTCCACCTCCGTGTTCCCCCCATCGCCACCGTTCCGCACCGCCCCGTTCGCAATCACCGATATCGGATGATCCGCTATCTCCTCTTGCAAACTCGCCATCTGACTCGTCAGCTTCTCTTCTTCCCTAATCACTTTTCCCTGCAACCGATTCACCAAATTCAACTGCGCCGCATTGAGCTCGCCGAGATTACCAGTTCTCACACCCTGAAGAAACTGAGTGAGTTGTGACTCAATTTGCGACCCACAAATCGCGTAAATTAGTCTGATAAACGAAGAGGGTCTACACCCGGCGATCCATAGGAGAGAGCTCTCGAGAGAGGTGCACCAATCTGGTGCGAAGAAGGGTGAGATGTCGGCGCGAGCGAGGCGGTTTCGCTTGTCGATGTATTCTTGAAAATGTTTGATATTTTTCTCAGCTAGGTTTCGGAGCAAGGTGTCTTTGTCGTGGCCGTCGCCAGAGAGCTGTAGTTCTCGGAGGAGCTCCGAGAGGTACTCTTCTTGCTGGGTCTGCCATTCTCGGAAGCAGCAGTGTTGGCGGTTAGAGTCACCACTAGAGTCACCACTTTCCATGGTGATAATCGATTGATCTTATTGCTTGTGGTGCGACTAATGTTGTATTTATACAGGTGATGGGCAAAGCCCAAAGCCCAGTTCAAATTTATAATTCGATTTTAAGAGATTCAATAAATTCAATTTAGTGGAACCAACTCGGTCAAGCTTATCAGCTCTACTTGGTTAAGTTCATCAGTGTGGTCCGTTCGATCAAGCTCAGCATTTCAAGGAGCTAAGGGAGCAAGTAAGGTCATTCAAAACCCTATCCTCGCTGCCTTGGAGATGGTCAATACCCCACCTCATTCTTTGACCGAATCTCATGAAAAACACCGCAATTGCCTAGCACGTTGAGAAGAGCTCGTCAGATCCGACAAACTAGTCAACTACTTACTAATATCTGACCCAAATCTGTTAGGAGTACGACTATAAATTATAAGGCCCACCAACACTTGGGGGGCTGATCATACTTTACCTGAGCACGACTTTCTCCTCTCCCTCAAAGCTTGTACTCTTTGCTGCTCACACCATTGAGTTAATAAAATACCCGACAACTAGAGCCATTGAAGAGTAGACGTAGGTCGAGCTGACCGAACCACTATAAATTGTTTGTGTCTCTTTATCTCCTGATATTATTTTCTTGCATTTATTATTCACACTTGGCAGGTGGTGTGCAAAATCATTTTGTGCATCATAAGTTTGGCGCCGTCTGTGGGAACGACTAAATTCCTACTTTTAAACACTTCATCTGTTGAACCTATGACGATCATCACTAGATTCATGAATCAACCTGAGGATAATCCACAACAAGAGGAGGAGGTTGCTCCTCCACCTACCAACTCTATTTCAAATGCTCCAGTTTTGAATCCTTAGCAAATGTTGGAGACCATGCAACAGCTTGTGGCACATAAACAGCAAATCCTACAACTGATGCTCACCGAACAAGGAGGAGCACAACTTGGAGGATCTCAAGGAATTGTAGGCCTCGGTCATCAAGGAGCTCCACAACTTGTTGCTCCTTAGTTGGACGCCCATGCAGGTCTGGGCGCCCCACACAGGGGAGCCCATCATGAGAGACCTCCTCCTCCTCCTACAGCTTCTCTTACTTCCCATGATGAAGACCCTCATCTCCAAGAAGATAATGACGAAAATCAAAGCATGGAGCATGAGAATCATTTCCATGATCGTTCCAGATGAGCCCCCAATCATTGGGACAACAAAATTAAGGAAGTGCAAAATCAACTGGGTGAAGTCTTCAACGCTATGAAGGCACAGGAACCCGAGACAATAGACTATCTTGTAATACGGACAGACACGCCTTTCAAACCTGATGTGACGAACTACCCCCTCCCTCAAAAGTTAAAAATGTCATCCGTGGAGACCTTTGACGGGATAAATGATCCACTTGATCACCTTAAAACCTACAAGGCCCTAATGCAACTGCACAACATCTCCGACAAAATTATGTGTAGGCATTTCCAACTACTTTGAAGGGATCAGCATGACAATGATTCGCCAAACTCACCCCGGCCTTCATAAGCTCCTTCGCCGAACTGAGCAAATCATTTGTGGCACAGTTCATTGGTAGACGCTGCCAACAAAAGCCTGTCACCCATTTGCTTAACATAAAACAGGATTGAGACGAGAGTTTGAGGAGTTACCTCACTCGTTTTAACAAAGAGGTCCTCCAAATCGAAGAGCCCAATGAAAAAGTCACCATGATCGCCTTTCTGGGAGGCCTCTACTCATCCAGATTCCTTTTTTCAGTAATGAAGCCACCACCAAAGAGCCTGCTAGAACTATTGGCAAAAACTCAAAAATATATGAATGCTGAGAAAATCAACAGGTTTGGGCGAGGTGAATCATCTCGCAGATTACCAGAAGCTTGACCTGCCTCTACACTGTTCTCAAACAGGTAGCTTATCTCCAGCTTAGCGGCTCTCTCGTGGGTCGTTCAAAAAAGTTTGGCCTCTACACTATTCTCAAACAGGTAACTTATCTCCAGCTTAGCGACTCTCTCACGGGTTCCCAAAAAAGCTTGGCCTCTGCACTGTTCTCAAACAGGCAGCCTATACTTCAAGCTTAAAAACTCTCTCATGGGTCACCAAAAGGTAGGTCTCAAAAGGTGTAGCTCTCTCACGAGCAGCTCTCCAACTCTGTCTTTGCTCTCGCGCAAACAGCCTACCTCTCTCTCCAGGTAATTATGTGAGATATTTTAATGTTTGAAATAACATTATTTCTGTCATCACAAGCAGGCTCTCCCAAGGTAGCCTGGGGCTCGCTTAAATCTCCTAAGGCATTCTCCCAAAGGGCCCGAGGCACCCCAGGCTCACCCAAGTCGCCCAAATGAGGCAGCTCAGCACCTAGAGAGGTGCCTAATCCTATGTGCTCGCCCAAACGAGACGGTTCAACACCTAGAGAGGTGTCTGATCCTATGTGCTCGCCCAAATGAGGCGGCCTAACACCTAGAGAGGTGTCTGATCCTATATGTTCTCCCAAACGAGGCAGATCAGCACCTGGAGAGGTGCCTGACGCTTTTTGCACGCCCAAATGAGGCAGTCCAGCACCTGGAGAGGTGTCTGACGCTCTCTGTTCGCCCAAACAAGGTAGCCCAGCACTTGGAGAGGTGTCTGATCCTATGTGCTCGCCCAAACGAGGCGGCCCAACACTTGGAGAGGTGTCTGATCCTATGTGCCCGTCCAAACGAGGTAGCCTAGTACCTGGAGAGGTGTTTGACGTTCTTTGCACGTCCAAACAAGGCAGTCCAGCACTTGGAGAGGTGTTTGATGCTTTATGCTCGCCCAAACGAGACAGTTTAGCACCTGGAGAGGTGTTTGACCACCTTTGCTTTCCCAAACGGGACAGCCTAGCACTGCCTGGCCCCCCAAAGTTACACAAAATAGCTCCAAAGGCGCCCAGATCAGCGCCTTTACGCCCAAGCTGCTGCCCAGCTCCTCTACTGCACGCCTGTTGGCCTGGGCAGGCCCCATTCTGGCTTGCACGCGGCTGTTCGCTTGTCTGCTCGTTATTTTGATCGTAAATTTTACTACATAACTCAAAACAGGGGCTTATTATATATCAAATCAAGCTCTCGGCGAGCTCTACAAGATCCATAGCCTTTGGCTGTGACTGACGGTGTAAAAAGTTCAAAAAAAGGCTCAGAAACAGTTGTTTTAGCCTCCTGAAATTTAAAAAAAAAAAAAAAATTATGCCCAGCTCCCCAAGGACAGTGCCCAACTCGCCTCGAAGCTGCCTGCTCGTCTAGCTCTCTGATCGAAGTTTTGACCGTAATTTTTGCTCCGTTACTCCAAATGAGGCTTATAATATATCAAATCGAAGTTCTCGACGAGCCCTACAAGACACATAGTCTTAGGCTGTGAGGCTGTGATTGATTCTTTAAAAAGTCCAAAAAAGACTTGGAAGCAGATGTTTTGGCCTTCCGAAGTTTTTCCAATTGTGCTGGTCAGTTGAAAATTCAAACTTAATCGAATGCCCTCCTTTCCAAGTTCCATTGGACACAGGGCATTGGGAGACAAATGATGGGCCAAGCCCAAACTCATGTTATAAGCCCAGTTCAAGTTTATAGTTCGACTCCAAGAGATCTAGCAAATCCAGTCCAGTGTGGCAAACTTGGTCAAGCTCATCAGCTTAACTTGTTCAAGCTCATCAGTGTGGTCAGCCCGGTCAAGCTCAGCAGCTCAAGGAGCTAAAGAAGCAAGAAAGGTCATCCAAAGCCCTATCTTCGCTGCCCTGGAGATGGTCAACACTCTACCTCATTCTTTGACCGAATCTCATGGAGAGCACCACAATTGCCTAGCACGTTAAGAAGAGCTCGCCAGATCCAACAAACTAGTCAACTACTTATTAATATCTTACCCAAATCTGTTAGGAGGGCGACTATAAATTGTAAGCCCCACCAACACTTGGGGGACAGAGCATACTTTACTAATATCTTGATCGTGGGTTTCGTCAAATATTAAAATTTTGTATTAATCTAATGATTAAAATGAATCCATGTCATTACACTAGGATGAGAAAATTAAGAAGACCAAATAGTGTGTTACTCACCTAGTAATACTTTTGCTTAGGTCAAAATCAAGTCGAGTTTTGCGAACTCAAATCGAGTTTTTTGAGTTCGTTTTTCTAAACAAGTTTAACAAATTATTCAAAATCGGCTCGTTTAAAAAATGAGCTAAGCCAAATCCAAACCCAAAACAAACCGTACTCTATCTGAGTCTAAATAGTTCGAATATTTTATATATAAAAAAGTCAAACTTTACAAACTCGACCCTATCCTTTTAAGCCCATTTTGTAAATAAGTTAAAAAAATTATTCAAGCTCTACGAGCTGAAATCGAGTCGAATCTTATTCAAACTGAATCCAAGTATCTCGCTTCAATTATCAGTCCTAATTTTTGATTTTATTATTACTAATTTAAAACTCATATTTTACTCACCTTTTTTTTATCCAATTTTTATGGTTGGCCACTTGCCTTAACAATTTTTTTTTTTTTTTGAACTGTTAGTTGGCTTAACATTACTCACGTTAAATTTTGTAGTTGTGTGACACAAAAAGCTGCCAAACAAGTACAAAAGCTAACGTTGATATCATCTACGTTGGCGTAGTGGGATCTTAGAATGTTGTGTGTGTTTGTTTACATATAGCACAACACAAGACGACAAACTCTTCAATCGAAGAGTAGCTTTAGGCTTCGGTTCCCAAGATTCAAATCTCACAGCTCTCGTCGCACTTCGATCTACAAGTTGTAGTGATGATCTCTTTTGGTAGGGGGGGGGGGGGGGGGGGGTGCAAGGTGTTGGGAAGCACAACACTTTGGCACCATATCTAAACATGAAATTCCATGCATCACCTTCCGAAAAAAAAAAAAACAGAAATTCCATGCATCCTCACAGTCCTGACATGTATTATCTTTTTGACAAAATATTGAATAGAATGATTCAGCTGCCGGCCTGACACAAATGGTGACCCTATGCAAAAATATTAGATGAGACTCCGGTACA